TGAGAAATTGGACTCCCGCACCACATGTTCACTCCTTCCCGCCTGAGTCCTGAGCCAGGCTTAGATGAGACCATGTTTTATAGGGGCAAATTTCTGCTCCCAGGAGCAGTGCCTACAATTTGAAAACTTCTAGTCCTTGTCCTTCTGTGCTCCAATTTCCTTAATTATAACTTGGGGATTGTAAATTGTGGGGCTTTTATATGGTGTAAGAATCTAGTGTAATAAGGAAAGAGAAAGGGCTTGGTGAATTCTTGAGTCAGGAAATCTTTTGTTAAATATACTACAAACTTCATTAGCCCCCTTGGCAATTTGTGCAGTCTCAAATTTGTGCAGCGAAATTGTCATCCTCAAAAGGACAAAAAGTCCTTCAGCAAAAAGGGGTTTGAAGAGGCTGCATCCTCAGCAATTTTACTTATCAAGAGTTCTAGGAGTCTGGTATATATGATTACTCTTGTAATCCCAGCACTTGGGAGATTGAGGCAGGAGGGCCAGCCTGGGCTACACAGTGAGACCCTGTCTCAACAAAACAAAACAAAAATTCTGAGGACATTCCTCATAGATCTAGCAACCTTTTACAATTTTTGCACAAAACAAGAACTCTGGAGACCTTTTCATTTCAAGATAACAATTGTGACTGATTGCTTGATTTGTATTAGGCATTATTGTCAAAAATAATATCAGGTCAAGTTAAAAATCTAAGGGTTTAGACTGGGTGTCAGTGGCTCAAGCCTGTAATCCTAGCTGCTCAGGAGGCAGAGATCAGGGGAATCACGGTTCAAAGCCAGCCCAGGCAAATAGTTCCCCGAGACCCTACCTGGAAAACACCCATCACAAAACAGGGCTGGTGGAGCGGCTCAAGGTATAGGCCCTGAGTTCAAGCCCCAGTACCAAAAAAAAAAAAAAAAGTTTATTGTGCATACAAAGGAACATTACATGAATCAGGGGACTGCAAACTGAGATTGGCAAGAATTCTCAATTTAGAGGTGTTATAACAGAGTTTACAAAGCATAAAGGGGGAATATTTTGACCTTTTTCTAGATTGGCTGTCATACATGCTTTGAAAAGCAAACAGAGCTGTTTAAAGTGATTTGTCTATATTAGAGTGGGTTAATTCCACTAAACAATGCTGAGAAAGCTAAAAAAAACCCTTAGGTTTGTTTTTTGTTTATGTTTAGAGTTAGCATGGGGGGAATCAAGACGACTTCAATTTTGGCTGTGTGGCTATGGGTGGTTGGTCTGGTCTTGGGGTAGCTAAACTGTGGTCTTCATATCTATTTATTTAACAATTCAATGACTTCATTATGTGCATTGCCACTTGCTTCTTTCTCCTTTGCTTGCATTATCTTTAATCCTCATCTATAATTTGAAATAGGAACAATTATTACCTCTATTTCACAATTAAGGAAACAAACTCAGAGAAGCATATCACCTGCTCAGTGCTACACAGTGGGTAAGTGGTGGAACTGGACATGGAACTCAGGCAGCCAGACTCAGATCGTATGCTCAGCCTGCCTCCAGGGTCTCAGGATTTATGTTTTACCCTGGAGTGCCTAATTCACGAGCAGCTGGAGCTCAAAAAGGGGGCCAGGCTCCTTTGCTCAAGGGTGGCACAACCAGGAATAGAATCTGAAGAGCCCATTGAAGGCTAGTCAGGCATCTTGTCCTCTTCCTGGAGTGACCAAAGATCTGGGGGACTGAGAGAAGGCTGAAGGTTAAGCCTTTTGAGGCCTTTTCATAGGCCTGATCATTGGGTTTTTTTTTTTTCTGAACTAGTGTCTGTGTAGCCCAGGCTGGCCTCTAACTTGTAATACTCCTTTCTTAGCTTCCTGAGTGCTAGGATTACAGGCATGCACAACCACATCCAGCTACACTTAATCTATTTTGTGATTGTTTCTTTTAGACTCGACTTGAAATAACATCAACATGAACTCCTAGAACCAGATTAGTTATGTGGCTAGAACATGGGCTCTCCAGGCCACCTGCCTGGGAGGGAGGAAGCCCTATCACTTTTTTTGCACCTCTGTTCACTATTTGTACCATGCCCCTGTTCTAAGGGCTATTCCAGTCTTAGCACTGACAGTTTCCTCCAAAGATGACAGTTTTCAGTGAGAGGAATATAAAATTAACCACCATTGCAGGGCCCAGATGCCCGTGTGAGGGGAATACATATCTATGGGAGGAAGTAAGGCCAGATGCTTGCAAAATAGGAGGAAGAAACTAGGAGGGAACCCTCCAAAAGTTGCCCCTGTAGGGTATGGAGAAGGAATTCTTTCTTCTTTCTTTGCAGTGCTAGAGATTGAAGCCAGGGCCTCTTGCTGCATGGTAGAAAGCACTCTACCGCTAAGCCCACGGGGAAGGAATTCTGATGCATTTAACCCCCCACTATGTTCTCCATTTTGGCACCCCACTTTGTTCCTTTACAGTACCAGAGTTCTAAATAAATAACTTGGATCATGAGCTGTTCAAAGTCTATGACTCTCATGTAGGGTCCCAGGTGCGGTTTTGTTCACTGAAGTGCAAAGCCTAGCACTTAGAAGGTAGGGTTGTCAGATGAAATGCAAGAAGCTCAGGTTAGTTTGAGTTTTATTTATTATTATTATTATTATTATTATTACCTTGGCTGTGTCCTAAACTTGCGCTGAGTTCCTTTGGCAATAGTCTCTCTCTGAGCCTGCTTGCTCATCGGGAAAATGGGAACTTGGGCAGCGACTGAAGTGCAGGGATGGCCAGTGTAGGAGAGCGCTGGGTGAACTGTCAAAGAGCAGGAGGGATCGCCGGTCATGGCCAGTGCCAGGCTGCCCAGGCCCCCAACCCGGTCTCCTCCGCCGGCCACTACTCTCACTAGGGCCGAGGAAGTGAGCCCCTGCCCCGCCCCCAGCGGTCCAGAGGCTATCGCCATGGAGACGCGGGCAGCCTGGAGCCCCTCCCTCACAAAGCCACGCGTTTCCGCTGCGTTGGAGCCTTCTGATTGGATGGCTGCCTGGACGCTACCACCAGCCCGGAGCCCGCTAAGGGGTGGGGGCGGGACCTTAGCCTCGTGAGACTGGTGCCCTGAAGATCTGTGCATGTGGTCTCCTTAGGAAAGGCTGGGTCTTCTGCCTTACACAGGGAAAAAGGCTGAATCTCTTAGGTCGAGAGAGTGTTCATTGCTTCTCCTACTAGATCTTATGCTCATGCCGCTCCGTGAGAGAAAAAAGGGGGCGGGAAACAGCAACGCCCCCTCCGGAGCCTATTCGGTCCCAAGATCTGGAGCACCGGAAATGCTGGCGACGTGTCAGTGCGCCCTACCCTAAACGTTCCCCCGCCCCAGGCCACCTTTCCCATTCAGCTGTGGGATTCCGGGGCCACCTGGTCGCTGCACTCGCCACTTCCGCATCGAACCGCCGCTTCAACCGAACTCCCTCCCTCTGCGCGCGCTCCATCTCTCGCCGGGTGGTTGGGTGGGAGGCTGGGAGTGGCTACGCCCTTTCCCGTGCCTGATAGCCAATGGGAAGGCAGCTCCAGGCGGGGTGGTGGGTAATTAATGAGGACCTGGCGCTGATTGGCTGTAGTGCCCGGCTAGGAGGGCTGGGCGGCGGGGTAGGTTGTTCCAAGAGGTGGGAGGCGGTACCCGTGGCTGAAGAGGAGGAGGCCTGAGAGCGACATGTCCTCAGCGGCTGAGGCAGAGCGGCCCGTAGCGCTGTTTCACTGAGTCCCGGGCGGCCTGGCGGCCAGCCGAGGACGAGGGTCGGTGGGGGCTGCCCCTGCAGTGGTGGCCGCCATGCTGGGGCCCCGAGCAGTTGAAGGAGTCGCTGTGGCGCTTCTGCGACTGCTGCTGCTGCTGCTGCTGCCCGCGCTCCGGGAGCCGGGGCTCGGCGTGGCCGGCGCCGCCGGGGCAGGGCTGCCGGAGAGCGTCATTTGGGCCGTCAACGCGGGCGGCGAGGCGCATGTGGACGTGCACGGGATCCACTTCCGCAAGGACCCTTTGGAAGGCCGGGTGGGCCGAGGTGAGAGTGCGGGGCCTGCGGTGCGATGCGGGGCGCAGCCGGCCAGCGGCCTTCCCCGCGCCCCTGCCTCGACTCCGGGGCCACGTCTCTGCAGGTTCCTGGGGGATCTGGCCAGATCCCAGGACCTAGCACTTGTCGGACGCCACCAAGAGCCATCGAGGCAGCGAGTTGGCGAGAAGTTATACCTGGACCCCTCATGTCGTCCCCTCCCGAGCCGGGGAAGTAAAGGCGAGGGCGGCCTTTCGCCCCTCCCCCCCGCCCCTGATCGTCTGTCGAGAAAATCGCGATAGGTTTGGGCCACCCAACAATCGGCTGCTTTCCTTGCCCCTTCTGCAGGAGCAGGGCTTGATTCTTAGCCAGAATAGCAAGGAATCTTTGGAGGGGATGGGCCAGGAAAGTTTGATCGCAGCCTCCTCCCCCGCTCTCCTTTGGAGCGAGGACTATGTGTGCTCCTAAAAGAAGGCCACCCCTGCTGAGGTGGTTATAATGAAAGCCACCCTGTGTGTGAGGCTGGTGGCAGCGTGTCATCTGAAGATCAGAGTGCTGCAGCCTCCTCCGGGGTGGTTCTGAGAGGTAACATTGCAATTCAAGGGAGAGCAGTTGTGACTTAACTGGTTGAGCAGCAGTGTTTTGTTTTGTTTTTGTTTTTGTTTTTGTTTTTACAAAGCTGGCTGCACAGTTCCCAAACATAGAGTGTTAAGAATTGCGAGGGGAGCTGGGTGCCCTGTGGTTCACGGCTGTAATCCTAGCTACTCAGGAGGGAGAAATCAGGAGGATCAAGGTTCGAAGCCATAGCCAGGCAAATAGTTCAAGAGACCGTATCTCGAAAAAGCTTATCACAAAAAAAGGCTCAAGGTGTAGGCCCTGAGTTCAAACCCCAGTACCACCCCCCTTCACCACCCCCCGCCCCAAATTTAAAAAAAAAGAAGAATTGCTAGGGGAGGTGGGTAAGAATGCAGATTCCTAGCTAGTGGAATGTCTCAAGCCAGGAAAAAAAAAACCAAAAAACAGTGCAAACTCCTGATCCCCACTTCAGACCTATCAGACAAGGCTTTTTTTTTAAATGCTGAGACCCAGGGACTCCCAATGTAGGTCACCCCCAGACCACTCTGGAGAAATGTGCTCTAGATTCTGTTTCTTTTGTTTTGTTTCCCTGTAAGTAGGATTGGAAAACAGGTTTAAGAAGGAAGTTCCTTGCTGCATGTGTTGGAAGGAGATTTATGCTGTATTCTGGGTTCAGAGGCTGCCAAATTGGCAGTGTGCCACTCCAGACAGCTAGGAGACAGACTTTCTCTCTTTTTCCAGGATGCCCAGAATTGGCTCTTCACTTTAGAAAAGGGTTTAACTTAGTCTTTGCAAGTTAGTTACAGTGTCCTGGAAAGTTTGTTACCTTAGGAGTTTAGATATGTGAAGTCTTAGGACACAAGACTGAAATTCTCCATTTGTCTTGGAATTTGTTTAGCCCTGGCATTTGGGCTCAGTAGCCCGGGTTCAGCTGAATCAGGGTTCCAGTTTTGCAGCAGCCAAAGCTGGACTTAACCCTAAGGTTTGTTTGGTTTTTTGCAATGTAGCCCAAGTTGGCCTTGAACATTGGATCCTCCTGCCTCAGCCTCCTGCGATTACAGATCTGTACCACCATGCCTGACTTACAGCAGGAGCCCATCAAAATTGTGGACCCTTTCTCTTCATGAGTGTGGTCAAGGAGGAAGGAAGCTAGACACAGTTTGTGGACTTTGCCTCCTGAGATAACAGCCTTAGTGTGCAGATGGCTTCTTTCACTTAGCAGATACCAAGCTTTACATTGGTCACATTGTTCTGTTAGGTCCCTTGTGCAGAGGATAAAGCTAAGGCCACATATTTAGTTCCCAGGTACTACACTTATTCAGAAATTCTGGTTTTGATTTGCTAGTGCAAGTGGCTTTGCTGTTGTTTTGGCCTGGTCAGCAGTCAGCCAGGCTCTCTGTCCTTGGGTTATTGGCTCATGGCTGCAGTTCCTTGGGAGAAGACCAGAGCTCTTGCATGTTGCAATCTTTCCTTTGGGGCATTGTATAAGTGGAGGTTCCCTGCCACTCTGTTTGCCAAACCTGAGTATGAACTGGATAGCATTAAGGTATGGTTGGGGAGAAGGGATGGGGATCACCCGCTGCAGCTTGGACTGGCTTGTTGCAACATTGCACTTGCCAGGTTCCTGAGAGTAGCCTTTTGCTGGCATTAGGTCTGAGGCTGAGATGTGTTTAAGTTTCCACTCAGGAGTCAGCTTTTTAGTTTCTTCTGTACTTAAGAGTCAGCCCCACCAAGGGAAGTGCAGCTGTTCGTGCCGCCTTTCCTCATCTGGTCCTGTTTGGCTGAGGGTGTGCCAGGTATTTTGAGACCCTTGCTTCATGCAGATATTTACACTCACTGCAGCAGGAGTTGTATGCTGATTTCCTTTCCCACATTGTTCCCAGCATACTGAAGAAAGTTCATTTTACGTTGAATGAATTCAGGTATTTGTTGCCAAGTTAGTCCAGATAAGGGTTTGGCTTGCTATTGAACTTGCTGTTGCTTTATAGTTTCTTTGTAGTTCCACGTTCTTGTAACTGAGTGGCCCAGGGTACCTGGTGGTTTATGCTTTCAAAGGTACTTTGTACTGTTTATTTATTTATTTATTTATTGTGGTATTGGGACTTGAACTCAGGGTCTTACATCTTGAGCCACTCCATCAGCCCTTTTCGTGAAGGGTTTTTTCGAGATAGGGTCTTGCTCGCAGAACTTTGCTGGGCTGGCTTCAAACTGCAGTCCTCCTGATTTCTGCCTCCTGAGTAGCTAGGATTACAGGCGTGAGCCACTGGCGCTCCGCTGTACTGTTTATTGAATTTAATTTCTGCCTTGAGGAGGGCTAGTGCTCTCAGCCTGGAAAGGCATTTTTCAATCTGTGTGCTTTTATTCAATGGGTAGAAGTACATCTGTAAAGTGCTGTAGCAGCGTTTACCTTGGGCTGTAAGGATGCTATTTATTCCAGGTTCTTAATTGAATTATTGTGGCGGGTTTCTCTTGACTCTGACTAGAAAAAGACTTAATTATTTGGCTTAAGGGCACAGAACTTGGCTTGGTTTTAGGGGAAGACTATTTCTTCATAGAAGGATACCTGCTGGAGTTGTATGACCTTGAAGAACTTGCCTTACCTCTCTGAGCCATATTTTCCTCTCATACTTTAGAAATCTCTGACATGACTCTGAAAACTCTCCTGTCCAGAGTAGGGTAAAGTGTCACTATCTCTTTTCTGCTTGATGACCTTTTACATGGAATTAAAAATAGGGCAGAACATGGCTCCAGATGGGAAAAATGCTGGCTGGGGGCCTGAGCCTATCAGATTACTGCCTGTAACCCTAAAGAAGACCCTTTCCTGGGCTGCCTTCCTTTTGGCTGGGGAAGGATTTGGCCTTGGGGAGATAAGAACTTGAAAGATGGTATGAGAGAGGGAGAGTGTCAGTCAGTCACTATTGCATCTGATTTCCTTATGGCCAGAGGATTTGTTTAGAATTCTCTCCTTATATTGTCACCTAGTATATTGTCACACTTCATCTATGGGCCCTCCAAGTACTGGAAGTTCACAGGTAGGAAATTTAGGTCACCGAATCCCTGGATTCTTTGTCTCAGTTCATTTAGAGTAATTTTTTAGGAGCTAGGCTCGCTTGAGGAAGAAGTGATTCAGAAGAATCAGATAGCAGTCAGGAGGCCTAGTGTTGGGGTGCTGAGCAATGTTAAAGCACCAAGAAGCAAAGCACTTTACCGGGTGGTGGTCTCATGCTGAACGTGTTCCTACTCATTCTGGCTTTCCTGTTCCTGCGGTTCCCAGGAATTTTCCACTTCACTTTATTGCTTTCTTTGCTTTTTCTCTAAACTCCCCAGAGTGGAAGAATTTATTTAGTGCTTGCTTTGTGTATATCCTTGCTCAAGTGACATTCTAACATGTCTCTCTTTCTCTGTGAGAGATACTACATAAGTTCTTTACCCTCACCCCCTTTTAAAATTATCATTATTGTACTGGGGGTACACTGTGACAGTTACAAAAGTTCTTCAATATATCATAGTTGAATTCACCCCTTCCATCATTCTCCTTTATCTTCCCTTCACCTGTTCCAGGTTTCATTTTTCCATTTTCATACTACATAAGCTCTTTACAGGTGTTTTTATCCTCACTACAACTCCATGGGGGTAGGTGATAGCCCTATTTTATAAGTGAGAAAATAGATCTAGAAGAAATAACTTGTTCAGCATCACTTAGTAGGTGGCAAAGCCAGCATTCAAATTCAGGCTTGTCTTATTCAAAACCTGGGTTGAATTTTCTAAGGAGCCAGGCCACTCTACTGTCCAGAAGTAGGAAGCAGCAGACATAATGTAGGCCTTGTGGCCTCTTTCCTTTTTGTTAACCTAGCTATATTGTGCCAACGTCAGCAGTGTGCTGATTGTACACTTCATTTTATACATATGTGTGTATATATATATATATATATATATATTTTTTTTTTTTTTTGGTGGAACTGGGGTTTGAACTTAAGGCTTTGCACTTGCAAAGCAGGTGCTCTACCAGTTAAGTCACACCTCCAGTCCATTTTGCTCCAGCTAATTTGGAGATGGGTCTAGTAAACTGTTTGCCCAGCCTGGCCTCAAACTGTGATCCTCCTGATCTCAGCCTCACAAGTAGCTAGTATCGCTGGTGCCAAGCTCCTTCATTGTATTTTTAAGAAATTTGTTTAGCTGTGAATACATAAAGGCTAAGGATGGAAGAAAAATTCTTTTTGTTGCTGTATCTCTTGGGATTTGGGTAAGTTCAACTTTGCATGAGAGAAATCTATTAGGAAAGCTACTTGGGCTTTAAAGGGAAAATATTTAAAGGTGATTCCAAAATTAAGTAATTTTTGTTTATATCACTTGAGTTTTCTTAGCTGTGGAACTAGGGCTGCCACAGATTACATTATTGTCAGTTTCTTACTTTTTTCATTTGGCAAGGAGAAAAAAAAAAGATTGTCCACATATGTGAAAAATTTTCTCTGTATCTGTAAATCAAATCTAGTTAATGTTCCAAATTTGTAAGGATCACACTCCTCGTGGAAGAAGAAAATTCTTAATGTTCAGTTGGGAAAGAAATAGTCTTTTAGGTTTCATTGGTTTGTGTCCCAGAGTTTTTGAGCCTGGGAAAGAGCAGGGGCATATTTGTAGTACATCCTTTGTAATGTTACCTTTCTTTGATTTCTTGAGGAGACATAGGAGAAAAAAGTCTAAAGACAAAAGTGCAATGAGTTTCCTGTTCCATTGTCTCATCAGTCCATCTGATCTCATAGCTGTGTGACTTACAGGAATTGTTAACAGTTATGTTTATTTTTTTGAGGGTTTGACCTCAGTCACTGGGTCTGTCAGTAATCTTTTACTTTTTGTCATGTCCTCTCCCTTGAAATTTGGTGATTCAGAGGGTATAGCTTGCCATTCAAAGGATGTAGCTCTCCAGCCGGTATGGCTGCTCTTAGGCTCTCCCAAGGGATCTAGGTGCCAAATGTCTTCAGGGTCACCATGTGAGAGTAGAAGGTGGTCTTGAAGTCTTAATTCCATGTCACAGTAGAGACTGCCCTATTGTTCCATGTGTAGGTTGGAAAGTAGCCTTATGAAACTCTGGAAAGCTTCCTCTGTCTATAGGATAAAGGAGTTAACTGTGCTCTGAAGGAGGAAGCATTTTGGGACTGAAAGGTGATGTATTTGTGGAAAGACATTAGTTTAGTTTATTGTGTAGGAGGAAGAACATATGTAAACTTGTTGCCCAGAGGACTTGGAGAAGTAGAGGTTTTTAGTTCTTCTGATACTGACCCAAGGTAAATAACTGTTTACTTTTAGCTTGTCTTTTTTCTTATCAATTTGTGAAATGAGAAAGATGGCTCTTCAGGACTAGAGCCAGAGGTGTCAGTAAGACCTTGACAGATTCTCTTTTCTGCAGGATGATCTAGCTACTGAGAAGTGCAGGGCTTCACTGTTTGCAAGGATCTCCTTCATTGCCAATTGTTCATTCAGCAGAGCACATCTTGTGGCTACTATGTGCCAGCACTGTGCTAGATGTTGGAGCCACAGTAAAACTGTTTTTTTCTGTCAGTTTGAGACAGTAGGTGAGGTGGAACTTTTGAGTCTGTGCAAATGTAAGGTGTTCATATCTGAAGGAAATTGCCTTTTTCTTTTTGTCAGCCTTGGGACTTTTTGAATGAAAACTCTGAAAAAACAAGCATAGCTGGAATCTTATTTGTAGTAAAAACAATGATGAATAACTTTCCTAATGAGATAATACTATTTGGTTTTGACTCTGAATTTTTTTGACTGAGAAAAAAAAAACATTTAAACTGAATCACCTTGATTAGAATTCCTGGCTGCCCCTCTGGTTTCAGGAAGTTTCTTTGAAGCTCTCCCTCTCAGAAAGCCATACCTGCAAATAGCTCTTTTTTTCTGCATCCATCTCCAGACAGCTGGGGAAAGTCATTTTAATGTGCTTCCACAAAATTCCACTGTGAGGGTTATGGGGCTGTTGGGGTGATTAGTGTTTAATTTCTTTCATGTTACCCTCCTGTGGTAATGGCTATCTGATTCTTGCCTTTGTGTGAGCTTTGTACAAAGGGGTTGCCTCCCTTCTACTAGAAAGGTTATTAGTTAGTATTGCCCTGGAATTGCCTCTGGCAGTTCTCTTCTATTATATCTTGCCTCTGATGTGCTTTCTCTTTTTTTTTTTTTTTTTTTTTGTTCCTAGCCTCAGACTATGGCATGAAACTGCCAATCCTGCGCTCAAACCCTGAGGATCAGATCCTGTATCAAACAGAGCGGTACAACGAGGAGACCTTTGGCTACGAAGTACCCATCAAGGAGGAAGGGGACTATGTTCTGGTGTTGAAATTTGCTGAGGTCTACTTTGCACAGTCCCAGCAGAAGGTGAGGCCTGGTCAGGCCCCTTCTTGACCAGTTGGACATTGCTACTCCTGGATAGTCCTTTGCTGTGGGGTCAGAGTATGTAAGAGCTCCCCCAAGAAAGGAGGAACAGATAACATTGGAAAAGCTGGATGCCTTCTGGACCTAGAGAAGCTGTGTCCCAAGTGGCTGCACTTGCCTTGGTAGTTGGTGACAGAAAGCAATGCTACAATCCTAGTTCTTGGCAACTTACTGATTCTGTTAAGGCCCTCTTGGTTATTTCCTTCTAGGTTTTCAGCACCTTCTTGTTTTTAGCCTTATCCTGTTTTTCTGTCCTTTTCTGTGAATTTCTTCCTTTCCATGCTAAACTTTGCATTTGGCAATGAAGGAACAGGGTTTTGATTTGGCTCAGGTAAAGGACTCTAGCCACTCTGGAGTTTATCCAGAGCCATCATTTCTTAAATCATTTTTGAACTTGAAGCCCAGGCGTGTGCACAATGTCCGATTCCTTGAAAGGGTGTAAAGCTGATGTTTTTTGACATTGTCTCCTTTTCTAATCCTGGAAGGTATTTGATGTACGATTAAATGGCCATGTCGTCGTGAAGGACTTGGATATCTTTGATCGTGTTGGGCACAGCACAGCTCATGATGAAATCATCCCTATGAGCATCAGAAAGGGGAAGCTGAGTGTCCAGGGGGAGGTATCCACTTTCACAGGGAAACTCTACATTGAGTTTGTCAAGGTAACCCTGCTGTTTTGCCTCACAGTAGGAAGGGCTTAGAAGAATGGGTGAGGGGAAGATGTTTGTGACTGTGTGGGGCTGACTACTCTTTCACATTTTCTAGGGGTACTATGACAATCCCAAAGTCTGTGCACTCTACATCATGGCTGGGACAGTGGATGGTAAGTTATGCTTTTCACTTGCTGATTTTTGACTTAGGCTGAAGGATATGGGTGAGGAAACCCGTGGGAGGTAATTTGGATCGTCATTATTTTTGAAACTCTTTCAGCCAAATTGTAATTTGGAGTCAGATGAATGAGGATTAAGTATATCAGAGTACTGGTCACAGCTTTGAAGTCAGATCTGTGTTTATATCTATATCTTGGTGCTACCATTTAATCAGCTGTTTGGTCTTGGACAAATTCCTTTAACTTTCTTATATATAAATGGGATTAATAATGGGTACTACTGGGGTGCCTGATACTTTTAGTCATCTGGAATTGCCTAAAACTTGTTCTCATTCCATTTCTTTGTTTGGCATCTGTTCCCTGGGGGGGACCTCTTACAGAGTTTTGGTAGCTCTGAAAAATTCCAGCATGACTGCACTACATCGGCACAAAAAAAGTTGAGTTGTGGCTGGAGGCGTGGCCCAAGTGGTAGAGTGCCTGCTTTGCACTCATGAAGTCCTGAGTTGAAACTGCAGTACCCTTATTTGTTAATGTCTCCTGAGATCCAAGAGTATATCTTTTGCTCAAGGTTTAGATAATCCTGGCTGAGAATTTCCCCAGGTTGACTTTTGCAGAAAAGTTTGTATCTTAATGACTTTTCTCCCCCATCCTATCTCTGTACCTGTTCTCACTTTGTCTTGACTATACTGAGAGTCTCCTCCTCTTGACTTGATGTCCCCTAATACTAATGTCTTATACCAGACAACTCTTGTGCTTGAGTCCCTGAGGAAGAGGCAGGTAGAGAGGTAGTGTGGGCTGAGAGCCCAGAACTCTGTGGATCAGCTCTTCTTCAGTCTCTATGAACTGAAAGGGAATATGGGCTTACGGGAATGAAGAGGAGAAATTAAAAGGTTAAGTGTTGGGTGTCAGGTCATTGTCCCTGCCCCAGACCTTTTGGGGCTCTGAAGAAGTGGGACAGGAGGGGAGGCAGCCTCCCGTTGGTAGGGCTTTTACTGGTCTTTTAGTTAAATCTGTTCTATAGGCTAGAGGCTACTTCTACTATGTCTGCCTCTTCCTGTGGTCCCTGGTTAGGGCACTGGAGTCTCTTTATTGAGACTTATTTGCTGCTCTTAATGATCTCACTTAGATGCTGTGAGTCTTACTTAATAGGTATTTTCTTTCTTGTATTAGATGTACCAAAGCTGCAACCTCATCCAGGATTGGAGAAGAAAGAAGAAGAGGAAGAAGAAGAAGAATATGATGAAGGGTCTAATCTCAAAAGACAGGCCAATAAGAACCGGGTGCAGTCAGGTCCTCGAACACCTAACCCCTATGCCTCGGACAACAGCAGCCTCATGTTTCCCATCCTGGTGGCCTTCGGAGTCTTCATTCCAACCCTCTTCTGCCTCTGCCGGTTGTGAGAACAAATGGCCATCCTGAGAGGGTGGAGGGCAGTGGGAAAGAAACCAAACATTGGTTTGGTGTCTGTATTTTTCATAATGATTAACAACAACAACAAATGCCTCCCCCCGCCAAAAAAAAAAAAAAAGAAAAAGAAAAAGAATAAAAGAAACCCCCCCCCACACACAAATTAAAGGAGATAAAAAGAGGCAGAGTGAGTGGAGAGCAGCCTTCACCCACCACCTGGTCCCAGATCTGCTTCAATCCTATTCCTCTCTTTGTGGCTGACCCCCCCCAGCTATCTCTTTCCACTCTGGGGTACTTAGGGCAAATGGATCCTTCCTCTTCAAGGATCCTCATTTGTATACCTAGCAGAAAGGACTCTGAACTCAAAGCAGTTACAGTTCCTTTTTTTTAGGTTAGAAATTAACAGCAGAGAAATGTCATCTTATTACCTGAGAAGACCAGCACTGGGAGTTGGATATGTTCTGAAGTTATGTCCAGATAAGTTTTTAGCTGTCCTGGGATTGAAAGAACGTGTGTGTAAAGGTCTGTAAGTTGGATGGTAAAGACAAAAGGGGGGAGGGGATCAAAAAAAAAAAAAAGGAAAAGAAAAGTCAATGCTTCCTTACTTGGAAGCAAATCTGGATTAATTCAATATGGTTCCACCTCAAATATTTGAACTTTGTCATAGCTTATCTCCCTCACATGTGCCAGTTAGAGGACTGTCTGGTATCCAAGACGATTAGTTTATGTCAGGTCCTCAAATTGCCTCTGACTTGTTACAACAAATCATTTTGATTTCAGTGCCTATTGGGGACTTGATTTCTTTGCAGTTTTTTTCTTGATCTGGTTCATTTGTAATCTCTTCTCCTTCTCAACCATGCTACTAAGTTATTGCCAAGAAGGGAAGGAGACAGGGGGCTGGGGTTCTCTCTGCTTGAATGTTTTATCCTCTCTACCTTACCTTGTTGGTACCTCCCTCCCTGGATCTCTGAGCCAGCAGCCAGGAGGACCTGACCCAGCAGTTCTGTACTGGCCCCCTTGTAGGGTCTTGCTGCCAGGGGACAGGGATGCTTTCCAGCCTGCAGCAACAGAACACTTGACCTTAAAAGTCTCTTCTGGTCTTTGGATTAGAAAAGGCTTATGTTAGCATAACTTAAGAGCAACCTCAGAGACTTGAGCCCTACTAAGTGACTGACCACTGTTTAGAGTGTCTAGTATCTGATGTTCATTTATGTCCATATCCTCTGTGTCACAGTTCAACCAGTTTGAGTTTATGCCTAGAGTTGACCCCAGGAACTAGACTGGCTGCACCAGTCCAGTGATGTTTCTCATTGTTCTTAATAGTATACCCCTCTGTCTTTTCAAATAGCAGTCAGGATTCTTGGTGTGATGGGGCTGAAAGATTCCCAGTCAGTTTGTAGTCCTGGCAGTTCTAAAGTTAACCTTAGCATCTAAGTGTATGTCTTAAATTCCCTGGAAACATTTCAGCAGGAAATGAAGCTTCCCTATTCCCTTCCTTCCCAGTCATCTTTATCTGTTTTCCAGTTAGGACAACAGTGAGGAAGAACTCAGCCAAGGAATTTTGTAGATGGGTAGCAGCAGGATTAGCTTCAGTTTGGGCTAGAACAATATAGACAGTGAGGCCAGGCCCATCTTTCTAGAATGTGTTTAATTTTGAGTTTGCCTTATTAGATATTTTTAAGAGCTCATATTATTTTTTTAAAAGTTCATATATTTGAACTGTTCCTTATGTGACAAAGTAAGTAACTCTTGGGCTCATGTCTCAGCTTTGACTCTTAATGATTACTCCAGGCCAGCATTTAGACATTTGGGAATTGTTGCCCTTTGTTTTCTCGAGACTTGAGCCTCAGTCATAGGGTACTGAGTTGGTCAGCTGGATGTCTGTCATCAGAGGAGCACTTTGCTCCCATAGCTCCCCTGCTTCTAAAGGATGAGGTACTGTGTCCTTGATCTTGGGGACCATTTGACTAGGGCAGTGGATGTCCTGACTAACTGGGTTTCTGATAGTGGCTTCGGTTCCTCTTCTATCACAACTCTTAAAGCTGTGGCCACTGTCAAGGGATTAGACAAGATGAAGAAGGAGGAGTAACTGCCTCTATTTTTTGCCTTGTTTGTTAGTTTGCCTGGGTCCTTGAGGAAGGAGGGGTCTCGCCTCCTCACCTCGGCCCATCCTTCAGTGACTCAAGAGTCTCAGAAGGAAGCCCTACTCCTGGGGCCATTTCCTAATGGTACTGTAAGCCAAGCAGCTCTGCTTCTGCTTCTGTTTCCAAGCCCACCCCTTTCCCCAGGGGTAGGAATGAGTGTTTTCCTCTCTGGTTGTGTCCAAAAGGAAGGAACAACTATGGCTAACAAAAACTAAAGAGGAAATGAGGAAACAGGAAGAAGTATAGCGGGGGGTGCTGGGGTAGACTCCCCTGGAACCAAGCCCACCCAGCTAACAAGAGCTGCCTAGGGCTGGCAACAGCTGGCTCATGATGCTGAACTTGAAAGCTTTTTTTTTTTGGCTCCTCCAAGATGATATAGGTACATGAAGTTTAGGTTGAAGGGGTGGGATGGGGCATGCTTTATTTTTATTTTTGTATTGTGTGAGTCAAGAATTACTCTGTTGTTCATCTTTTGCTTTTTGCACTGTTTATTCCCCTATTTGTATTTTGAGCTAGTGCAAGGACTGAGAGGCTGCGTGATAGGGAGTCTGTCCAGGGTTGAGGGATATGAGTAATGGCCATTAGGGGGTTAGGGAGGAGAGACCCAGGCTCTTCTACTTGATCTATCTTGTATCCCAGGGTTTTAGGACCAGCTGCTCCCAGCTTGTCATAGATGAGCAAACAGCCCACGGTGAAACTCCTGTTGCCAAAAGTATGACTGATGAAGTTTCTAATAGGACCAAGCAAAAATGTCTGGTGGAGATGGGTTGAGAGTCTGTAGTCTAGTCTGATTTGGGTCAGGGTTAGTAGCCTCTAATTGGACTCTTTTGGGTCTTATACTAACTAAAACATTGTGCCAAGAAGCTATTTGTGGGATCCATGTCCCTTAAACCAAATTCATTTTTCTAGAAAGTCTCTTGAAGAAAACCTGCTCAGGATTCCCTGAGTTCTTGTGATTTAAAAAATAATCTCCAAGTATCAGTGGTGTCAAACTTCCAAGAGGACTCGCCCTCACCTGCTGGGCCACCTGATATTTAAGGCTTTGATCTTGTTCCCTTGGTCTCTCTGATCAGGAGCTCCTGGGGTCATATTAGAGGTCACCGGAGCTTTGATGAGATGGGGTAAAGTTTGAGTTAAGCTTGCCTCCCCATTTGTGCCTGGGAACTGTCTGATCCAGTTTTAGAAGTGTGGTTTGACTTCTTTATCTTTTTGGAGAAGCTTCTGTTTTAAGGAATTTCTCTTTTTGTCCTGTCTCTAGCCTTTCCTGGGAAGGCCTGGTCCTGGCTTCTAGAATCTCAGCTGAGAACTTAAAACAGCAGCAGTAATTTCCTTTTCCTAACACTTAGATCACTTTCCCTAGAAATTGGCTTACCTTGAGAAGCCCAGGGAGAGAATCATCAGGTTCTTTATCCTCCTTGGGGATTGGGGAAGGACCTACCATGGTCAGTACAGTGCCTTTTCCTGTCCTGCTCTGAGCCAGTGTGGGCATTCCCTCTAGATTCAGGTCTGGGCAGGGGTCCTATAGTCCCTGCCATGGGACTGCTTCCCTAACCCTCCCCCTCCCCTTGCTGGCCTACTTTGACATACTTCAAGTGTCTTCTTGCCTTGAGGAGCCTTCATGGCATCAAGTGGCGACATGTAACATTGCCTCCTGCAGCAACTCTGAAAGGATATAGAGCAGGTGAGCTTTCCCCAGTGACAGACCATAGATGCTCATGGTTTTAAAAGACAGAGCTGGGGGAGGTGTGCCTTGGGCCTTCTGCTCTGGCCCCTGAGGAAGAAGACTAGATTTGTAAGGCTGAGAATGAGCATACCAAACCAGAAACACCCAGGATCTGCTCAGAGAGCTCAAAAGAAATCTGCCTCTCTTCTAGGGAAAGATATAATTAGGGATCAAAGAGCTCCATGAAAATTGCAAAGAAGCCTTAATGATCAAGCTTCAGAGAGACCAGAGCAATTTTCTTTCAGTCTGCTAAAAATCTTTCTGTATTTGGACCCTTCCTGGGGCAGAGGACTGGATTTCCTCATGATGTTAGAAGACCAGCTTAGCACCGGTGGGTCAGCTGCCTTGGCTGGGTGAGTTTCTTTGCACATGTGTGGCTTGCTGCTGATCTGGTTTGTCCTTCCCCAGCTACCTTTGTCTCAGTTGCTTTAGATGGCCCAATCATCTTGATAAGAACAGATGAATTTGGGGACTGGCTGGGTCAGCATGAAAAGAGCAGGATGGGTCTCTTGGGATATGTTCCTCTCAGGAGTATAGAAACAAGGAGCCAGGATTGTGCTGGCAGCCAGGGAAACAGTAGTGCCTGTTCGAGTTGGCAGAGAGGGCCTTGGCACCACTTGCATCCAGGCAGTGTTGTGCGATGGGAGCACATAGCACTGGGAAAAGCAGAACTCTATTCTCACCTCTATTTTGAGCTTCAGTGCTTTATTTCAGTATGAGGAAAAACAACAACAAATTCAAGTGCGCTTTCCGTCCTTTCAAAGGACAACTGTCGGGAAAGGAGAGCTGAGGTGCCAGGTGGGAGGGGATAATTGGCAAGGAGAGACATTATGGCAAAACCAGGAAAGAGATACTCTTGACTTCTCTCTTCTCTGGTGTGTCATGATCCAGGGAATGAAAAGAAATTTGACCCTGGATTATTAGTTCCCTCCTTGGATTTAATGAATGTTGCCTTTCCTTTCCATGAGGTTCTCCCAGGCTAGGACCAGCTGCCCATTCTTAGTTCCAGGCAACCTCTTCAGCCATTATTGGCCCAATCTGGCTTGTCAGGAAACCAATCCTACTCTTCCAATTGGGTCTGGCTGCTGTATGTGGTACCAAGTATTAGAAAAAAAGTGTCAAGGTATTAGTAGCCCTTGTAGCTCCTATTCTAGTTTCCCATCCTCTCCCTGCAGAGCCAAACCGACTCTGTCTGTAGTCACAACATGCATTTATAGCAGCACAGCGAGATGTACTTTGAGGGGCT